TGGTTCTGGTCCAACATAGGTGTTCTCTGCTCCTTTCCTGGCTAGAAAGTCAGCATTCTCATTTCCAGTGACACCGTTGTGTCCCGGTACCCACGCTAGTGTAACTTTGTTGATCATCGATAGTGATTCTAAAGTTTCCTGTATTCGAGGACCAGATTTGAATTCACCTGATCGTTATAGAGTGCCTTCAAAGCCGCTTGACTATCACTTAAGATAGTTATCTTCCTATTTTCGTATACCAGCAGGTTCAGAGCCCCTACTAGTATCGCTATCACCTCTGGTTGGAAAACAGAGGGTGTTGTGCCCAATGATATACCGACATTTTTTCGTGGATTTAAACTCCAAATTCCAGCACCTACCTTTCCTAATATTTTGGATCCATCTGTATATATCACAAATCCTCCTTTTTCAGTCAGGTGGTTAATATTCCATTCTCTACGTGTAGTGATCTTCACTTTGTAGGGAATGTTATTCTTAAGAACCGGTTTGATATAGTCCAAGGGTATTCCAAAAAGCCCTGGTCTANGGGGTATTCTAAAAAGCCCTTGTCTATCTCTTTTAGTATTTTACCATGTTCTGTTGTGTCACTCTCCAAAGTCCACATACCTAAGTTGTGGAATCTTAGTGCTGTGGCTTTGGTGTGAGTTTTAACCTCTAGATGCAGAGGCAATCCGATTAGTGCCTCTAATGCGACCGTTGGTGTAGTTCTTAATGCTCCAGTGATGGCAATAGCAGCCATTCTCTGTATGCGACTAAGTTCTTTCCTAGCTGTAATGAGTGCTGTTCTGGTCCACCAGACTAGGGCACCGTACAATATCATAGGTTTAATCACTGATGTGTACAACCAATACATAACTCTTGGTTTAAGACCCCATGTCTTTACCAAGGCTCTGCTGCAAGTCCACAATGTGGTCATTGCTTTTTTGATTCTTGACTCAACATGTGATTTCCATTTTAGCTTATTATCCAAAATAATACATAAGTATTTTGCTTCCGATTTTAAGCTAATTTCTTCTCCATTCAGAGTAAGAGTGTCAAGACTATCTAGTCCTATTCTCTTTCTAGTGAACATAACAACCTCTGCTTTATTTGGATTAACAGATAGACTGTCCTTACTACACCATATCTGTATAGTGTTAAGTCTCTGTTGTGCTAAGTCTATAATAGTGTCTGGGAATTTACCCACCACTGCTATAACCAAGCCATCCGCATAGGCTTGTGTATAACAATATTTGTTTAACTCTCTAATAAGCTTTATTTAAGAGCTTACGTGAACTCTTTCTTAATTTGGACAGATTAGCATTCAGCCTAGCTACGTCCTGCCCTGTACCTTTCCTTTATATTAAAGGACAGTTTTCTTTGTAAGCCGAGACAATGGAGTCCTGTAGCATATTTACAGCTCTTTCAGTACTCTGTCTCGACCCCAATCTAAACTGTAGGTTATTCAGGTCACGAGAGACATCTGCTTTGTAGTTGTCCCAGTTTGTTATTTTCGGGTTCCTATAGTTCCCTTGTCTCCCTCCTTTGATAGGTTCTTCTGTCCCTCCACGATTGCTCGGCTTCTCTTCAGCTTGCGCCTCTGACTGCCGCTCAGTTTCTCAGGTCTAAGTTTTAAACCCTCGATTTTGTCAGCTACTACTCCCAGTTGATCTTGCGATTCCTGGTCTACATTTGTTGACGTTGCTGTCTCTTTGCTAGTAGACGGTTCACCAAGTGTCCCGTTGTTCGCATTGAGACTTTCAAGTTCGGCGATTCTTCTGCGAAGAGTCGCCAGTTCACAATCTTGTTCCGACAGGTTGTCCGTAGGATCCCTGATCATCACAAGTTCGCTGTTTTGTGGTTTTTCCATGTTTTTATCCATATAGTTCCCACGAGTAGTCAAGAAATAAAAGTCCGTCACAGCTGTGACATACTGTGATAAGGCTGTATACTCTATGGTGCGCCAGGTGCCATAGAGGATCACAATGGTCACTTTACCTTTCGGCTAACTACCCTGGGACAAGTTAGCAACCCTTTCACTTGATATGGCTGGGTTAGGAGTTCGTAGAGACTAACCTTACCACTAAGCCATTGTGCACTTCTGATTTAACTTTCGGTACACTTCCATATTTAAAAATATATTTTAAGATAACATTAGTCATTTTTTTCGGTTTAAAAAACTACAGATACAACGATAAAGAAAATTAGCGATTTTTAAATTTGTAATTTTTTGGGGGATTTCCCCCGTTTACGGGGAACGAGGGAATTTTTTTCAATTTTTGAGGGTAATGTCTTCGACTAGATACGATTTGTGATCTTTTGACATATTGTTCATCAAAATCGGTCCAGCGAGAGCTGAGATTGAGCGTTCACAGACACAAAAAAAAAAATAAAAAAATAAAAAAATAAAAAAACACATCATAGTAAAATTAATACCTTCTCAGCTTCGCATCGAAGCTAAAAAAAGTACTGTAAAAGTAATCAATTTGTTTATTATTAATAACCTCTGCTATTGTTATCGAGAAATTGAAAATAGATTTAACTTTGCTGTAGCTATCAATAAACATCATAAATACACAATAATGAAAACTTATGATAATTATTAGGAAGTCAATATGTCATAACAACAATAAAAATATAACTCGCTTTTTATAAATTTGTCGACCCTTAATATTTGCGCCCCTCAAAATTTGCCGCTGTAGTCATTTGCCTATAGTGCCTATATATAAATACGCCGCTGATTTCGATATGTTTTCTCCAGTCAATAGGTTAAACTTAAAACCTTTTTTGTTTTTGTGTATTAAAATTATGCTTTATTTTTTTCTAATCTTTTTTCCCCAACAAAGATCTAGTTGGCTTTTAGATAATACTTTCATTAAATCGTTAGTAATCAGTACTATTAAGCCTGAAAACACACATTCCTGAAAATTACAATAAAATACTGCTTTGACAATGCACATTTTTTGTACTAATAAATAAAAAATGTTAAAACGACAATTTTAAAAATTCAAAAAATTATTTTTAATATTTTCTTATTAGAGACTAATCAGAAAAGAAAAACCAGCACACTGGGGACGTGGCATAGTTGGGTCAAATATAATCATATCTGACAGTGATTAAAATCGCCTCGATGCAAAGCTGTAGATAGTGTTTAATTTTAAAAAATTGATGGATTATCCCAAAAGCTACACATGATCTCCTATTTCCTTATTTATATCCTGATTACAAGTTTTATGATTAATAAGTGTTACATATGAATAAATAAATATTTATAATATAGAAAGGGAAATGGTCCGATTTAAAAAAAAAAGTACGTCGAATGAAAGAAGTATATAAATATTATTTCTTATAAAAAAATTGTATTGATTCATATATTTTTCAAAAAGTTATAGAATTTTAAAATTAAAAATATAAAATCGAGAATTTTAACACAAAAATAGCTTACGGTAGCCATTATCACCGTAAAGACAAAATAAAGTCCAAAATTTTTTTTTTCATAATAAAGTACATTACATAAGCTTTAATTTAAGGTAAATATAAAAGTGTCAGAGTTTCCGGGACACTTTCAAAAGTTAAGCTGAAGTTAATTTTTTGTGAAAAAGTTGTCATTTTAAATCCCCCTCTGTGGGCAGGTAAAGGGTCAGATTAATAGAAAAAATATATCAAATGATAGGTAAAAACATCATGCATCTATAAAAAAAATTATATTGATCCATACATTTTTCAAAAAGTTATAACATTATAAAATTAAAATAATTTTTTACAAAAATCGTATTTTTTTTATTAACTTTGATGTTTGTTTTCACTGTGAAGAAAAGATAAAGTCCCAAATTTTTATTTCTATAATAAAGTATATTACATTAGCTTTAATTTAAAATATATATAAAAGTGTCAGAACTTCCGGAACACTTTCAAAAGTTAATTTTTTGTGAAAAAGTTGTCATTTTAAATCCTCCCCTGTGGGCAGGTAAAGGGTCAGATTTATAAAAAAAATATATCAAATGATAGATAAAGACATTATGCATCTATAACAAAAAATTATATTGATTTGGTTATTTTTAGAAAAGGATATAACAATTTTAAGTAAAAAAAATTTCGAAAATTAACGATTTTTAAATTTGTAATTTTTTTGGAGGTTTACCCCATTTACGGGAAACGAGGGAAATTTTTTCAATTTTTGAGGGTAATATCTACAATTAGATACGATTTGTGATATTTTGACGTATCGTTGAAAGAAATTGGTTCGGTGAGAAAAGTGGTAAAAATCAAAAAAAAAAAAAAAAATACACATAATAAAACCAATACCTTCTAAGCTTCTCATTGAAGCTATAAATGTTAAACAGATCTACTCAATAGAGCGTATTATAAAATTTGATTATAATCGTAAAAATCCATTGTTAAATTCAAGTGAAACTAAAAATTATTGTTTTTAAAAGTGATTTATATAGCACCATGTTACCAAAAAAATTGGAATATTATAGACTGGTAGTGGACACAAAAATAATATTAACATAATTAAGAAATTTTTACTAACAATGGGAGACTACAGTGATGGGATCCTTGATAGTTATTGAATCTAAATAATTTGAACATTTTTTTATAACTCGAATATAATTAAGGACAAAATACAAAAATTGAATTGCCACAGGCGGATTTGAACCTTGTATAAGCTTCAATATAAAAAAAATTATGCTGATTTATTAATTTTTGATAATGTTATGGCAGTTTTAAGTAAAAAAAGTAAAAAATTTCGAAAATTAGCAATTTTAAATTTATAATTTTTTTGGTGATTTCCCCCATTTACGGGGAACGAGGGAAATTTTTACAATTTTTAACGGTAATACCTTCAACTAGATACAATTTGTGATCTTTTAACGTATCGTTGAAAGAAATCAGTCCAGTGAGAGCTGAGAAAAAGTGGTAACAGACACAAAAAAAAAATCACATCATAGTAAAATTAATACCTTCTCAGCTTCACATCGAAGCTAAAATATGCTTTTAAAGTATAGTTAAGCTCAACAATAACACTAACTTGATTACTCCCTGAGCTTTGAATCTGAGAAGGTTTCATGACAATGTGTTTTTTTAGCTTCGATGCGAAACTGAGAAGGTATTAATTTTACCATGATGTGTTTTTTTTTTGTGACTGTTATCACTTTTACTCAGCTCTCCTGGACCGATTTTGATGAACAATATGTTAAAAGATCGTATCTAGTTGAAGATATTATCCTTCAAAATTGAAAAAATTCCCTTGTTCCCTGTAAATGGGGGAAATGTCCAAAAAAATTACAATTTCTCAAATCGGTAAATTTTGTATTTTTTTTCTTAAAACTACCATAACTTTTTTAAAAATTAACAAAACAACTTAATTTTTTTTTATTGAAAACTTAGATATTTCCCTTTTATTCGATATCATTTTTTTGAAAATCTAACACTTGATCTGCTCACAGGGGGATTTAAGATAGCAACTTTTTTACGAAGTATAACTTTTGAAATTGTTCCGGAAATACTGCGTCTTTAAACATATATCAAAATTAAACTTATGTAATGTACTATAAAATA